TGTGGGCCAAGTGGGGGGGGGGGCGCGGCCAGGGGGGGGGTGCAGGGGGCGGGGATCGGGTCAGGACTGAGGGATAGCAGGGGGTGGGGAAGTGGGTGAGCCCCCTGCCGCAGCCCGTTCCCATTGCAGCCTGCCCAGACCTCACACCTCCATCCACAACCCTGCGCCTTCCTGGGGGGTGAAATCTGCGCCTCCCCGGGGCCTTAAATATCCCTCCCGGCCACGGACAGAGAGCAGCCATGGCCCCCGGCGCGCTCCGTGCCGCTGTCCTGCTGCTGCTGGGCCTGGGGGTGTCGGCCAGAGTCCCTCCGGAGGCCGCTGAGCAGGGGGCTGGTCCTGAATGCAGCCAGCTTTGGAAGTGCACGTGAACTGGTCCCAGCAAGGGCAGGGGGTGCTGAGGTTAGCTCTGGGGGTTCACTGGGGTGAGGGCTCTGACCTGCTCTAGGGGGTGGGGGGCATCAGGGAGAGGCTGTGGCTGGCTTGAGGGGGATCATGTGGATGTGGCTGGCGCTAGGGGGAAATGGAGGGGCTGGGGACCCCTGCACAGCCCCTCACTCTGCTTCTTTCCTTCCCCGGGCTAGTTCTGGATCTACCATGGGGACGTGTGTGGCATTGCCAAGACCCCAGAGCCCTTCTTCATGGCCACTGTGGCCCACTGCGCTCAAGTTCCATTCCCGCCCTGACCAACGGGCAGCAGAAAGGAGGGGGAAGGATGGAGGGACATAATAAATATGTGAGGCATAGAACAGTGTGACAGAGTATGATGGAGCTGTGGAGCTGGTAGGGAGAGGCAATGCATGTGGATCCTTGGCATCCAGGACACACACATGCACAACCCACGCGTTTGGGACCCGCACACACAAAGAACCCAGGTGTCCTGGATGCACCCCTACCTGCCCCCCTCCAGAACCCAGGTGGCCGACGCATGTACACACACAACCCCCCATGACGTACCTGCTCTATTTACTGCTCTATACACAGGGGGGAAGGGGGTACATCTCAGCAGTTGCTGCAGGGAGCTGGGGTACATCGTGGGATGAACCCTGGTTTCCACCATCAACCACCCCACCCTCCCTGGACCAGCCCCACCAGAGCATTGGATGCTGTGGACCACTGGTGCCAGGTCCCCTTTCCCTGTGCCCGGTGCTGCACATCTGTGCCAGTCTGACATGCCTTGGGGGGCTACTTTGGGCTGGGCCAGCTGGGGGATGGGGGTCTCAGGCAGCGACCAGCCCCTCGCTCACAGGCATGTTGATGTGGGCAGTCAGCAGCGGGGTGCGGAGCCCCTCTTGCAGTACCAGCACCTGGGAGAGAAGAGGGTAGGGTTACCAATGGGCCAGGAAAGGCCAAACAGTCAGTAAAAAAAATAATCTGAAAATGCCCATTAGTAAAAAAACAAACCCCAAATCGAGCTCCAGCTGTTGGTGAAACTCCCTCTCCAAGACATGTGGGGCACCAGAAACAGAGCTGGTAAAAGGATGGACAAGCATGGCAGTGCCCCCTGGTGGCCAACGGCAGGGGAGTGCAACCTCATAGATTCATAGATTGTAAGGGGCTGGAAGGGACCTCTCAAGGTCATTGGGTCCAGCCCCCCCTGCACTAGGCAGGAAAGACAACCCGGGTCAGGTGACCCCAGCTAGGTGACTGTCCAGTCTCCTCTTGAAGATTTCCAAGGTAGGTGATTGCACCACCTCTGGAGGGAGTTTATTCCACAGTCTGGACACCCTGACTGTGAAGGAGTTTTTCCTAGTATTAAGCTTGAAATGGTCTTCCAGGAGTTTGTGGCCATTACTCCCACCTTTTTGGGTTTTCCCCAAAGGGTGCTCTGGTGAACAGTTGTTCGCCGAGCCCTTGATGTATTCCCCTGATATAGCAGCAAGCTGCTACCAAGTCCCTGCTCAGCCTTCTTTTTAGGTTGAAGAGACCCAAGTCCCTCAGTCTCTCCTCGTATGGCTTGCCTTGCAAGTCTCTGATCATACGGGGGGCCCTTCTCCGGGCTCTCAAGCTTTTCCACATCCTTGTTGAAGTGTGGCACCCAGAACTGGATGCAGTAGTCCAGCTACAGTCTCACCAATGCCGAATAAAGCAGAAGAATCACTTCCTTGGTTTTGCTGAAGCATCAATTTATGCATGCCAGAGCAGCAGGTTGCTGGCAGAGGTTCCTTTCATGGTGCAATGGAGAGCCAATCCCACCCCAACAGTGATCTAGGCCCTCCCCCTAGAACCAGAACCCGGCACTGACAAGCCTGATGGGCAGGTGACTCCAGGGACCATCCACCCCTGCCCCACCAGAGCTAGAGAGTCCCTGGAGCCAACTGACTATCAGCTGATCGGCAGCTGACTCTGGGGACCGCCACTCATATCTGCCCTAGGGCAGGAGGGTCCCCAGAGCTGGCCAACAATCAGGTGGCCTAGAGGGGACTGCAGTGCCCTGTGAGAACTCTTCTCTCAGGCTGCTCGTAGACCTTTCTTTAATGACATGATGAGATCGGATGTAATCCCAATTGTGATCCAATCCGAATCATGATCCCAAACCCACAGCCCACCACTACACTGGCAAGGTGAAAGCTGGGTACCCAATGATCAGCCAAGTCTTGGAAGCCTGCCACCCCACCAGGGCCAGAGGGTCCCTGGAGCCAGGCAATAATCAGCATGATCAGGAGTGCACCAGGGTGGGTTGGAGACCCCGGTGGGTCCACCCTGCCCCACGTGCAATTCAGGCTGCCTAGAACCAGCTGTAAAGTCATGGAAACTGGAACTTGCCACCAAATGTTGACACATTTCACAGAATCATTTTGTAGCTGTGTTTCCTGTTTCATCCTGCTATGAGATGCTGGAACATGTGGCCAGGTCCCCAGTCAAGATGCGATTCCCTAAACCCATCATGTTAAATGCAACATCTGCCAGAGGCCTCAGGGCTTTGTAGATGCCCTGCCCCCAGCCATATGCTGCTGCTACATCCCAGCAGCTGCCTATAATACTGCCAAGTCATGGGTGAGCTTCTTGGAGCCTGTGCTGCGACAGGGGGAGTGGGGCTGAGGGCTTGTGGGAGCTAACCAGGGGGGCAAAAAGGTCTGGCTGGGGGCAGGATCTGGGGGGGATAGCTGGCGGGGTTTGGGGCTGGCTGTACCGGGCTGGTTCAGGGCTGGAGGGGGGGCGTGGAGCCAGCCAGGGGCTGATGGGAAGCGGGGGAGGGAAGCATCGGAGCAGGCCAGGGACTGACGGGGATGGGGACTGGGGCCAGCCAGGGGCTGATGGAGTAGGTGGGACAGACTGAGGGCTGACTATGGGTGTGAGGGTCAGGATGGGTGGCTGAGGCTGTTGGGGGTAAGGTTAAGGGATTTGCTGGGGAGCAATAGGTGCACTAGGGGGAACGAGGGGCAGCTGGATATCAACCAACCACTGCAGTCAGACAGAGCTGCCAGTTCACCCCCCTACATGTGCCCCTGGCTCGTCTTACCATGGCCTGGCAACATAAATTATGCTGAAGTGGTGGGAAATACATTAGTAAGAAAATACATGAGGAGAAAAGGTGGTCAGTAAAAAAAACCTTGAGTTGGGAGCCCTGGTTAGTGTACCCAGCTCTGGGGTGGGGGCTGGGTATAACAGGCTCTATCTGGTTCTAAAGTAGGGCATTAGGGGCTGGGATTACCCGCCTCACCATGCCCCCAGTCCTGCGCCCCCTGGAAATGCACTGGTACCTTGATGATGTCAGAGATGCCCTTATCACTGAGACACTCCACAAAGGTCTCGATGGGATAGTTCAGTCCGGGGACCAGCATGGGGGTCTGACAGCAAGAGAGAGACACATGAGAGGGGTTGGGAAGCCTTCCCTGAGCTGGGATGCAGCTGGCTCTGGGGGGTGTAAGGTGCTGGGTGTGACAGGCTGCGGCCCACTCTGTTTGGGCAGGGACACGCACCCGCAGCAGGGAGCTGGCCATGGCGTACAGGTGCTCGTCATACTGGAAGCTGAGCAGCAGCCCGGTGCTGGCCCCGGCAGGTGCTGCACTCTGGAGATGCAGTGTCAGCTTGAAGGTGGGGCCCACGCCCTGGACCTGAGGGGGCAGAAGGGGGGTGCGGGCTGGAAAGTCAGGAGTCCTCTATGACCCCCGGCCTGAATCCCCTGGCTGTAGCTCCATTCCAGAGCTGGAAAGGACCCAGGCAACCAGGCTCCCAGCCCCGCTGCTCTAACTCCCAAGCTCCCACTTCCCTCCGAGAACTGGAGGAAACCCTCCCAGACACCCCAGCTTGTACTGCCCGGCCCCCACCCCCTCCCAGAACTAGAGGGAACTCAGGCGTTTGGACTTCCAGAGATAGAAAGAACCCAGACATCCGAGCTCCCAGACCCCTCTGCTCCTACCTCTCAGGGCCCCCTTCCCTCCAAGAGCTAAGGAGGACCCAGGCATCTGGCTCACCGTGGCCCGCAGGCTGAGGGGATGCTGGGGAGTGGCGCTGAGTGGGGCCAGGCTGCCCTGGAGGGCGCGGACATAGGCACGGGCAGCCGACAGTCGGAGGCGGCTCAGCTCTGTCTGGAACACCTGGTGCATGGCTGGGGCAGAGGGGTATCAACTCAGGGGATGGAGCCAGGGGCGTGGTCTACAGCCGGGGGTAGGCAGGGTAGGGGCTAGTGCCAGGGGTCAGAGGTGTCAGAGGGGAGGGGGAAAGCACTCGGGGCAGAGTTGGTGTCTAGGGGAAGGCGCAGTTAGGAACTGGGGGCATGGCCTACATCTAGGGGGCATGGCCAATGCACAGGGGGCGAAGTCAAGCACCTCGCCCCCCCCACCCCCCCAGAAGGAGCTAGCATCCAGGGCAGGTGTGGCTGGAGAAGGGGTGACAGCAGGCTGGACCCAATGCCCTTGTCTGGTGCCCCCTGACCCCTGACTCCCACCCTTTTAGCGCCCCCCCAGCCCCAGGGACACCCCCAGACCCCATCTGCCCCCCATTTACCCCCTCACCGGCACCAGCCTCACGCTCCCGCAGTGTCTGGTCCACATAGAGCCGTGTCTTCTTGGGCACAGCGAGGCGCACAGCCTGGGCCAGGGGGGGGCCGGGGGCTAATGGTGCCTCCAGTACTGCCCGCCGCTTCAGCATCTTCACCAGCAGACCGCCCCCTGCCCCATGCCAACATCAGCTTGGCCTGAGACGCCCCACATCCTTCTGCCTCACATGGGTCAGCCTGGCCTGAGATGTCCTCCCAGCCCAATCAGTCTGGCCTGAGACCGGCCCCCCACTCCCAGCCCACATCAGTGATACCAGAGACCCACAACACTATCAGCCTCTTCCTGCTCCACACAACTGTCTGGCAGCCTAAGACCCGTCCATGGCCAGCAGCCCAGCCGGAGCACACCCCCGGCCCCCCGACACCACCCACGTGGAAGTCAGCTTGGCCCGAGACTCCCCCATGACCCCCCACCTGGCCTGAGTCCCTCTGCTTCACACAATCACCCTGCCCCACCAGCTCATGAGACCTTCAGCCAGCACCAACCTCTGCCCATCCCTGTCAGCCCTGGACAGAGGCCCCCAAACCCCCAGTCTGCCTCCAGCCTTCCTTGATCTCCCCAGCCCACCATGAGCCCATACCCTGCCCTGACCTCCCCAAAACCCCCAGGTTAGCTCCCAGCCCAGATTCCTCCCAGCCCAGCCTCTGCCAGCTCCAGATCAATTTCCTGCTTCCAGAGTCTCCTCAGCCGAGTCTTGGTCCCCCCAGCCCTGTTCCCTGAGTTCAGCCCCAGCTCCCACCTTTGGTGGTCATGAGGAGGGTGCTGTCCTCACGCCCATAGCGCCCGAAGATCAAGCCCGTAACCACATCCTGGGGTAGGAGGCAGACAGCATGTCTCAGCCTGTGCTAACCACTGGGCAAAGCTGCTCTTGCCGAGCTCTCAGCCTCACTCTTCCAGCTCTAGCCACTGGGCCACACTGCCTTGGCTCAGCAAGAGAACTCAGGTGTCCGGGCTCCTGCCCCCGCCCCTCTCTGCTCTAACCATTGCGCAACACTGCTCTTTGTTTGGGCTCCCAGCCGTACCTGCTCTGACTGCTCCCCCCTTCCCTCTGCAGAGAGGCAGAGAACCCAGACATCTGGCTCCCCGCAAACCCTGCTGCTCTAAGCATTGTACCACACTCCCCTCCTGGGCGTGGGAGAACCCTGCTCCTCCCCCCTGCAGAGAACCCAAGCATCCAGCTCTACTGTTCCAACTGCAGCTCCACACTTCCCTTCCAGGGCTGGGGAGAACTTGGGTGTCTAGGGGGCCCAACCCCCTGCTCTAACCATTATACCACAATCCCCTGACAGATAACCCAGGTGTCTGGGCTCCCAGCTCCTCCCTGCTCTCACCTCCCAGAGCTCAAGAAACAACCCAGGCGTTTGGGCTCCCTGCTTTAACCACAACACCTCACTTCCCTCACAGAGCTGGGGAGAACCCAGGCGTGCAGGCTCCCAGCCCCAACACTTCCCCCAGAGCTGGAGAAAGAACCCAGGCATTCGAGCTCCCTGTACCCTGCTCCTCTAGCCACTGCTCCTCCCCAACACAGAGGCAGAGACCCCAAGTGTCCAAGCTCCCTGTTCTAAATACTAGACTACACTCCCCTCCCAGAGCTGGGAGAACTCAGACATCCAGGCCCGCAGCCCTCCCTCCTCTAACCCCCCTAACCCAACTCCCTCCCAGACCTGGAGAGAACCCAGGTGTCCAGGGGACAGGAGGTGGTAGTACCGGGGTCTGGATGACATCGAGGAGGGCCTTGTCCCGGTACACATGCACCTCCTGGTTGCTGAGGGCGGCCAGGACGGCCTGGAACCCACGGGACTTCTGCTCCAGCAGTGCCATGGTCAGCAGTGGGGCTGGGAGCTGCACGGTCCACAGCCGCTTGCCCTGGGGGGACAGTATAGGGCTGGGTAGAACGGACTGCAGTGGCTCTGTGAGATGCACCGAACTCATGCTGGGATGCAGCTGGCTCTGGGCTAGGCATGTTACACCCAAGCTGTGCTCACCCCAGCTGCAGCCAGCTCTGTGGTGGGGGCATCAGGGGCCAGTTGGTAAATTGTCCCTCACCCAGTGTTGATATGCATCCATCCCAGAGATAGTTGCTGGGGCTGGCTCTGGGGTGGGCCTCAGGGCTGGTGATACAAGGCCCCTCATCCAACACTCGGCTGTGGCTGGCTCTGGGGTGGGCACAGGCTGGGTGTACCATACGCTCACCTTCTGGGTGTAGCCCCGCAGGGTGTCATCGGAGCAGCCAACCACAAGGGTCTTCTGGACGCGGACCAGGCCCACAGGCTGGGCGCTCAGCTCAATGCAGCAGCGTGGGCGCCTGGAGTCCCTGGGGGGGCAGAGAGGGGCAGTAGGCTGGGCAGGGGAGTCGGGAGTGGGATCTAGGGCTGGGAGTCTCACCGGCGCAGCAGGTAGAGGCAGCCATTGCGACAGGCGGCTGTGAGCCGGTACTCCACATCAAACTGCCCTGTTGCCTCCAGGAAGGCCGGGACAGCGGCGAGCGTCATCTGGGGGAGAGAGGGCAGAGATGAGGACTGGGTATGACACAGAGTTGCCAACGGTCAGTACAAGTTAATGACAGTCCATAAAAGATCCTCTTAATAAAAAATACCATCTGTAAAAGGTACTGACGTGACAGCCTGTGAAAAATAATTTCCATAAACGACACTGTCAGTAGAAGATACCGTATGTAAAAGATACTTATGGTCCATAAAAGATACTGACAGTAAAAAATAAATAAATACTGTGCATACAAACTAGGGCCCGTCTGTAAAAAATATAGTGACCGCAAAACTCTCATTAAAAAAATGTAAAAGATAATGACACTCTGTAAAGATACCATCAGTAAAAACACTCTCCATAAAAGATACTCAGTAAAAAATAGCGTTCGTAGAAGATACTCAAAGACACTAAGAATATTGTCTGTAAAAGATACCCTCGATAAAAAATATACTATCAGTAAAAGATACAGATGTTCTGGGGGGAAAAAAAAGATCTTGACAATCAGTAAAACATACTGCCTGTAAACAATGCTGATGATCAGTAAAAAAAAAAAAAAAAATTACTTTCTATAAAATCCACCCTCACCCCACCCCCAAAAAAACAACCCATCAGTAAAAACCTAGAGCCAGAGACAGAGAAGCAGTGCCCCCTGCTGGCTGAATGGGAGCACAGCACTAGGCAGGGAGCATTTTCACAGCCAGGTGCTGCTGCTGCAACACTGCGGGGGCAGGTCGGCTTCTTCTGGGGTCCGTGCTGGGATGAGGGGATGGAGGCAGTAGGGGTAGGTGGGAGAGCAGCATGGTGCAGTTGGGGGCATCAGGGTGTGGGGGCAGAAGGGTGTCACCCCAAGCTGCCAACCCAAGACAATTTCTTTCTTACTGCAAACTTTATGCTGACACCCAAACTTTTTTCCTATCCTTGGTGTTCAAGCCCCTACATTTGCCCCCAGCCCTGGCAGGAGGGCAGGGCCTGAAGCACAGTGACACTGACAGGAAACACGTATGTCAGTAAAAACATGTATCAGTAAAAAAGGCTGTGTGGTCAGCCACAGGTTTGCAGATGGTTCACTCTTGGTTTGCGAGCCCTGGTTTAACAGGCTGCGGCTGGGGCGCCAGGGCGGCGCCAGGGGCTGGGTACAGCATTCAACCGGCTCTGGAGGGCTGGGAAGAGCAGGCTGCAGCCAGCTCTGGGGTGGGTGTAACAAGCCAGGGAGGCCCCCTACCTGTGCCAGGCCAGTGAAGGCCTCGGGGTCCAGAATCAGGACCTCTCTGCTCTCTGTCCCGAGCACCAGGCAGGTGGCACCATCCTCATCAGCCAGGTCCTTCCTCAGCGTGGTCATGCAGGTGATCACAGTCTGGGGAGGCAGAGGGGTATGAGGGGGGGGTCAGACCACCCAAAATTTCTTTTCCGCAATCTCAGGGTCTCCCTCCTGCCAGACCCACCTGGTGCTGCAGCGGTTGGTCTTTGTGGAGGGTCACGAAGGCCTGGAGCTCCCCGGGCTCCAAAGTCAGGAACCTGTAGGGATTGTGGGGGCCTCGGGGAGGTTACCTACCAAACTGCCCCAGCCCCTGCCAGCCCAGCAGGGACTCCAGAGACCCCCCAACAACTGCCCCAGTCCTCCCAGCCCAGTAAGGGCCCCAGAGACCCCCTCATTGCCCCAGCCCCCCCAACACAACAAGGACTCGAGACCTCCCCAACTGCTCCAACACCCCCGTTCCCTCCAACTCAAACCCCACACCTTGCAGGAGGCCTAACCCCCTCCCAGGCTCACCTTAGAGACCGAGCTGACAGGGGGATCTCAGCCTTCTCTCTGTGGGAAACCAGACGCACTGAACTAGACGTGAGTGGGACCCAGATATCTGGGCTCCCAGTGCCCCCCTGCTCTAATCCCTCAGCCTCCCACTTCCCCCCCAGAGCTGCAGAGAAGCCAGGTGTCCGGGCTCCCAACCCCCACCCAGGAGCACCCTGCTACCCCCCCGGTACCCTGGGGGAGGAAGGCTCCTGCTCACCGGATGCTCTCCAACATCTCCTTCAGCATCAGCGGGTCGATCTTGTCCTGCCCAGGGGCAGACACGCAGGCGTGTCAGGGCGCCGCCCTCGCCCCGCCGTC